ACCTCCCCAGTGCCCCCAGCTGCTGTCCCCCCGCCCCGGCCGGGCCCAGGAGCACAGGGCACGCTTTGAATCGGCGCCACCGACACCCCACCGCCCGCATCACGGACACCCCGGTTCTTGCAGGCAGACATAACAGCTCAACCGTGACAGCTCGGCCTTCAGATCGCTGTGAGAAACGTTCCGTCGGACGTTCGTTGTGCTCTTTTGGGTGTTTGGAAAGCCCACAGCGAAGCGTGCCCCGAGTACCAGTGCCAGAGCATTCACACGCCTACGGCACTGCTTAGTGGCGGCTCACCACTACATGGAACGAACACTCACCACCTCATCTATGAAGCATCTTTCTCCTAACTGTAAAGCCTGTCTTTTGTGAACTCTTTAATTTCCCATCACTTATCACTTGCCATTTATCAGTTGTCTTGCCATCACTGTCATTCACCCAGTAACTTTGCCATTAGGCAAATTCTCTCCTTAAGGGGTGGGTTAGATATCCTCATGTTTTAAAATCTAAAATAAAAGTTCACCAAAGAAAACTTTTACGGATCTTTATTATACTTGGTTGTTTAGGCTGAAAAACCACCATCCTTCTAAGAAGTGCTCTGTAATACCTAAACCTACACTAAATTCTCCACATTTAAAAGCCCAGGCATTATACATTCGGCTGACAGAATAACAGAAGTCACCAAAAGTCTGATCAGCATAACTTACTACTACTAAGATGTGCTTTTCTCCCCATAATACAAATTATTAAAATTCTCTCTTTTATACATTGTATGTACAACCTCCAAGTACCAGATTTTATGAGATGCTGTTCTTTGCTGTCACTACTCAGAGCCTACCACCAAGAAACTCCTGTACGAGGTTTAATTAAGAACCCATAATGAACGGGGGTTTAGCAGTCAAAGAAAAGTTACCTAAATTTGTACTATTCTTCGGGTGCCATCCTTTCTTACCGCCACTAGATGCCACTCTCCTTCCTGCCTAGAACTAAAATACTGCTTTTCTTCCCTAAAGGATCACACCAGGCCATCAGCCACTATAGCTGAATTTTCCAAACCATTTCAAGAGTGACGAGTAACAAAGACTGTCACATTTTCTGTTGAAAACGCCTGCCCAGGCAGAGGTTTGTCTGCCAGAATTTTTACCAGTGTAAGTGAAATATCTGACAGCTGGTTTGTATCCCCAAAGCAGAAGCATCTAAAAATTAGAGCTGTGTTGTTATCAGGTATTACTAGGCAGATATCTAAATGTTTACTGGACTACGGTGCTGATTTCTGTATGAATGTCTTTCAGCTAACGGACAAAACAATGCAAGCTGAAAAGGGTTCAACTTTTTAAAGACTTTGCTACAAAATTACTTCAGGAAACAAGTCAGAGCTACTGACCATGTGCCTCAGCTCCAGCTCCCAAGTAAACATCCATCTTTGGGTTTGGAATAGAAAAAGCAAAAAAAATTGCAGAATAAAAACCTGAAGCAATTTTGTAAAGAGAAACAGTGACCGCCTTTCAAGAAAAAGAAGGGTTGCTTAGGGAAGCTAAGCTGACCGCCACATGTCTGAAAACACCGAGCTTCAGTTGAATAAACAATTCAGCCTGCTTAAGATACTACCTTCTTCTTGATAGCAGACCAATTTAAAAGCCCTTCTGTGAACAGCCTCCTGGAACAGGCTGCCCAGGGAGGCTGCGGAGTCTCCTTCCCTGGAGGCATTCAAAACCCGCCTGGACGCGATCCTGTGTGACCTGCTCTGGGTGAACCTGCTCTAGCAGGGGGGTTGGACCAGATGATCTCCAGAGGTCCCTTCCAACCCCTAACATTCTGTGATTCTGTGACTATTTCTCTTGCTGCTAAAAGGGATCATGCTTTGGGTTTTTTGCTACCTTGTTTGGTCTTTTTATACCATGGAAGAATAGCAAGTATTTGAAGTCTGTAAGTAGCACTGTGCAAATACAGCTTGCCAGAGCATAGTTGCTCAAGTCCTTATTTAGATGGAGACTAATTGCAGAATTCCAGCCTGTGGTAGGAATGTCTGAGCAGGTCTTGGAGATCAGAGAGGGACCTAAGGCACAGAGAGCTAGACAAGTTATACAGTAAATTTCATTATGAATTTCATTATAAGCCCCAACCATTTCTTGTTCAGTGGCAAGAATCACCAGATAAAGTTTTATTCTAACTTGCTTGAAGTTTGTCAGGTTCATTTTTAGGTTCACAGATCAGTTTCATGGCTTCAGCAAATCTACACAGAAAGAGATACGGAATACGTCCATACTGCCAAGTCAACTCTAACATTCGTAACTTCTGGGGCCCCCATTCACACATTTCTCCACTAAAAACACGTTTCTTCGGGTGGAAGAAATCATGAATCATAAACATTCTCAAGCTACCTGGTAACTCCTAATATCTGGACACTTGAAAGAGAGCATTCTTAAAAAAACACCACCACCAAAACACTAAATCAATCATCCAGTCTCCAAAATACACAAGGAGCACACAGTATTATTAAGTCTGTAATTATATGCTCTTCTACTTTGAAAAACAACTTGAAAACAGCATTATCAGATGTGATATTTATTCCAAATTCCCACAGCAGCTACTACTGGGACTGGAAAAGCAAAGCAAACTTGATTTTTTTCCCGTAGTGTAAAAGGGTTCTGCAAAGCCCAGTGTGACTTGAATTCAGACATACAAAAGACAAGTGACAATATTTTCACCGTTACAACATTCTACTTCAACTGTTCTTAAATTATCATTTCTCTCACAAGAGAAACTTGTAACACTTACTCTCCAAGTCCGATATGATGAGATTGTCATGAAGCTTCACAGCACGATGCTGCTCTACTTCATCCTCCAACTCAAAGATAGTTTCTTTCATGTCACTTCTCTCAGTCTCTTTTTCATCTAGTTCTGCCCGAAGTTTCTCTAGAGTCACATTGAGATCCTCAATTTGTTTCTTGGCTTCTTCTTGGAACACTCGATATTCGTCTTCAACCTGTAAAAGAACGTATCTTATCATAACTAAACTGCTTGCATCTTGAAACACACTTTTAGTTTCCTAACTACCATACTTACAATATATTTCTGCAACAATAAAAAAGTATGGAACAAGAAGGCAAGTGTGAGCCATTAAAAACATACAGTTCTAGTGCAATGATTTTCCTGAGCCAGAGCTAAACTCTTTTATTCCCAAGCTGAATACACGAGCATTCCCCAGCTACTCTAACAGCAGTATCCTGTATTCAAGTGAACCAACGACACCACAGTACCAAGGCTGTGATTTCATGAGCAGATGATCCCATTTACATCTAGCTGCCATGGAAAAGGGAGGAGGTGGGGGGGAAACTCTTTACTCCTCCTTTCTCTTGCCAAAACCCAAGCCTACCCTCTTCTGTGCATCAGTTTTAGTGCTTGGTGGGCCTGTGGGATGATTCATTTCCTTAACCAAGTAGCAGGATTCACATTTGTGTGTGAGATGGGTTAGTGGGTTGAAGTAGTTCCCAGAGGAGTCTTACAAGCTATCAAACTGAATGAAAAAAAAAAAACCAAAACAGGGAAAGGAAGAATTAGTAGATGTCTGCCTTTCAGGAGCAGTGAGGCTATTCTATCCTGCCTCATGAAACTGCAATGCAAGTAACAAGCTGGGATCAGAGGCACAGTAACATTAACCCAACAGCAAAAATAGGGTGTCAGAAAACCAAGAGAAATTAGGTCATGGCTCAGGGTGGGTCAACACAGTCAGGCACTGATTTTAATAGACAAAATGCCCTGCTTTAAATAGTCTCTTTCAGTATTTTTTATTTTAATAGCACTAGCCAACTTTAATTATTAAAATTATTTTTTTTTTTCCCCTCCCAAATTAAAGTTGATACTGGTGATGATGACTAACATGTTGATTTGCAACTGAAATATAGATCAGACATTAAATCTGGCATACATTTTTTCATCAGGAAGATAAACCTTTAAGAGCATACTTAAAATTTTTAAACAAATGTTATTATTCTTATTTTATATTAAATTATGATGGACACTTACTAGACGTATTTACTAGACAAATTAGTTATATGAGTCAAAATAGCTGTTCTAAAACTAGAAATATACGTTTCGATCCAAAACTCAGTCAACACACAAGCTGCTCCTTGATGGATCATTAGTAAAAAAAACCTACGTGTATTTGCCATATTTAAAAATAATTGTTAAATTATTTTTTAAAATAATTTAAAATTTTAAAAATAATTTAAAAGCTTAATTTTTTTTTCATTTAAAACTAAAAATAGACATTCAGTAGATTACATTTGGTAAAAATCCCTGTCTACCTCAAAATTAGTCATTTCTTGATTGGAGAAAGACGACACTTTTCCGTTTTCTTTATCATTAGTTTATTCTAAGTTAACTGAACCAAACTGAATAAGTTGAAACTTCAAAATATTCTCTCAACACCTGTGAAAGGTCCTACAAGTCATCAACAGCCGGGTTATCACTCCGAACTCTGACTTCCAGTACTGGCTCAGAGACATCTCTCTGCCACCCGTTTGGCACTAACTCCTTGAAACTCTGGCAGAAGGCATGCAATTCGAGCACAAAATTCATACAGTATCTTAAACACTGTTTGAGTTTGGCCCCTGAAATAAGCTGCAGAGGTTAAATACCAGTATTTTTTAAAAGTAACACGACAGTTACCCCTGTAATTTTTACAAAGGCCTCCATCGCTTTCATAACCAAGGTTAAGCGGAAGCAGTCAGTCCTAACACTACTGCAATCTGATGAACCTCACAATTAATCCTTTGCTTCCAACAGGAAGTCATGGTGTATATGGGATGTTAAAATACAACAGTTTGTTTTAAATGCTACCTTAGCAATGGCATCCTGCAGACGATTGGCATCATTGCGAGTGTGTGCCAGCTCTTCTTGCAGACCGCTGGCCAACGTCTCCGCTTTTTCTTTATCCAGCCTGACACTCTCCAGCAAATCTTGTATATCTGATTTATCTCCAGAGTTGTGTATAGAATACAGCTCAGCCACTTTCTGCTTTTCATGCTCTAACTGAGCTTTCAGCCTGTTCATCTCAATCTGGTCACTGGCTACTGTGGCTTTGTACTCCTCTAAGGTAGATGCTATCGCTGTTTTGCTTTTCTGCTCTGACTCAATAATCCGTTCCATGTGGTGATTTCGTTCTTTTAATGCCCCTATCATTTCTTGGGCCTCCTTGTTGTCTTGCTCTGCCATCTTCAAAGTGTTGCTCAAGTGCTGCTGAACACCTAACAGCTGCTCTCGCTCAAACCGAGCGTTCTCTGCAAGGTCCATATAGCGTTGCTCTAACTCCATGTAGCGACCACTTTTCATATCCTCATCAATAACATATGAAATATGGTGTTCATCTAAAAGGGACCGAAAATACTCAATCTGACGGCTGAAGTGTTCTAACTTGTCACTTTGCTGGCACAAAGATTCCATAAGGATTACTTTTTCCTCTCCAAGTCTTTCATTCTCACTGTTTAGCTCTTGTGTTATTTGTTGCAAATCTGCAAGCTCTTGAAGTGTGGCTTGGAGCTCTTCAGCCGTACTGTGTTGATTTTCTTCCATCTGATGTATCCGTTCTGTCAGACAAGCTACAGACACTTCACTTGCATTGCCACTGCTTCCCTTCCTAGATCTTTCTATACTTGGTACACCTTCAGATTCCGAAGATGACGGAGCATCTAAGGCATCATCGCTTGATGTCAGCGGCTGATAAACTTCACTGCACTCACTGTCTAAATTATCCATGGAATTACTATGTTGGTTGTCCATCAAAGTGTTTTCATCCTGACTTAACAAGTCTTCCATTGATCCCGGAGCAGAACCTTCCACTGAAGATGTCAGAGTGCCACCACCATCACTGTGGTTGCCAGCTGTTATCTCTGGACTCAAAGACTGATAGCCAAAGAGTTTTTCAGAGTTGTCCAGCCTTTGTTCCAAAGAAAAGCCTAATGCATTTAGTCTGTCTTTTAACATTCGATTCTCATTCTTCAGCTGGTTGAGCTCCTCTCGGATGGCAGTGTTCTGCTCCTGTAACTGTAGCAACGTAGACTCTACATCAGTTGGCTGATGGACAACAACAGCCTCTTTTTCCTCAGATTTTTCGTCACCTTCAAGCTGATCTTCATTGAGTCCCAGCTGAGCACGCATATCCCTTAGTTCATTCCTCAGATGCAAGATTTCCACATCTTTAGTTTTTGCTAATGTCAAAAGATCGTTCACCTTTGCTTCCAATGCAGCTTTGTCGCTGATTTGATTATCCGATTTGGACTTGCTCATCCGAATATCCGATTCCGGATTGGTGCGACTACGGGAGCGTTTTGCCAGTACCGTATCGTTGGTCCCCTGTCCAGCCAAAGGCAGCTTTTTGCTCTGGCTTAAACGAGAACGATCGCGTATTCTTTCTCTAGAAGAGCTTGACTCTTTATTTCCAGCTGATGTGCTACGCTTAGTTGTGGAACTTGTACCTATGTTTTTTGAAAGTTAGGAACATTAATTTAAAATACAGTATCTTAAACAGAAGACCGTGTATTTTGTATCAGCAATACAGTGGCTGATTTTCTGAATCACAGTGGTAAATATATTTCATAAAACACATTTAGAGTAAACTTTTATACAATCTTAATCATGAATCAGTGCAGTTACATTTTAATTGACACATGTTTTACCAATTGCTATGCTTTATCAGTATTTTGAAAATGAGTTAGACCTTAAAGTTTAACATTTGCAAGTTTCTTTTTTTGTCTTCAACAGCTTCTGATAAATTATACAAAAACTGCAGCTGTGCTATTCCTACAAGTTCAAACTGGTGTCTCTTTTCAGTAGATATGAATGCAGGCTTTTAAGTGATGAATTGTGTATTATGATTCCCCAAAATGAAAGTTAAGTTTTTCTGTATTTTAATTTCATTTCATAAAGATGAGGACAGATTATTACTACTATATTTCCAGATGCTTTACAGCTTTGCAAGCATTACTGAATCCAAAATACAGCAGCGGAAGGCAAGACATATTTCCATCCATACTGATAAAACACTAAATAATTTCACTTTTCTGAACAGTTTCTGGAAGTCTCTTACTTTATTTCTATAAAGCAGTACAGCATGCCAAAAATGTTGACTGCAACAAGTGACCACTTCTTAAAAATGTGGTGCTTGTGGCATGGATTTTTTTTTGACAAATTAAATTTTTTTTTAGACAAATTGACGATTCTCTAGATTAATTACATTATCTAGTTTTACATAGTAGTTGCATAATCAGTATGGAAAAGATTAAAAGGAACACCCTCTGAAAAGACAATTACATTATTATAAAACAGGAAAAGAGCACAGGAGGTGTTTGACGTGACTGTGGCCTTACTGACCACTTCATTAGGCAGCCTGGATCCTCAATACACAACAGGAAAATAAAAAGCCACCCAACTATTATCTTTAAGGATCAATATATCCATTTACCTGCAATAGTTTTGGGTTTATTTTCCAGACTATTCATGGTTGTCCCTGAAGCTGAAGATGCTGTTGATGATACACAAGTGCTCTTCTTTGCCTTGACACCATTGGTCATTGCCACTCCACCGCCACCAGCCATCCCCGCTAAGAGGTCATCATTACTCTTGGTCTGAAAGCAAGGGGAGAAGCAGCTTTAAGACAGCTGGCTGAGAAGTCTGCATAGTCAACATTTCTTCTGTGAAAGATTCCATCGGTTTAAAAAGTACATATTTGACTAGTCATATGTCTATGCAAGAAAGCTGAAAAGTCTAAATGCACTACACTGCAGAGCTGGTAAGTTGAAAGTGAACTTCAACTCCTCATGTAGGATCGAGCATAGAAACTGAGTCTTCTCTCTCTCCCAAACAAAATGAATGACATCTTAATACCAAAGAGAAAAAAAAGTAAAATTAAGGAAAGCACAGTAACACAATCAGTGTCACACTACCCAATTTTGATTCAAAGTTTGCTTAAGCATAAAATTGCAGACAATTCTTAAGACAACTAAACCACCAAATCCTAGGAATTTTGCATAACACCCTTCAGCAGAATATGATCAAGCATTTTCTGGTGGACAAGTTCACCACAAAGATCAAACGAAACAACAACCAAAAAAAAAAAATCAATCCAACATTAATAAAATAATCTTTCTAGCTCAAAATACTAAGCTGCAAATCACTAGAGACTAAGACAATATTCAGTGCGGGGAAAAAAAGCTCCCCTCACCATACATCCTTGCCCTGTTTTTATGCTCTTTACTAGGCACTCTCAGAGATGTGATATTCGTTTGGTGGACTGCCTGACCTCGTAAAAATCACTCGTGAAACTACTGTTAGCCACAAAAGCTGCTTGGAATGGGACAAGGCAGTAAGCACGGGAGTCTCAAGAACCAGATTTCCAAATAGAGAATACATCTTTCACAATAAAACAAAGTCTAGAAATGCTAAGTTATTAAATATTAATTGGCAGACTTTACAGCTCCTTAAAATACATTTTTTTCAAACGGTGAAACAATCAAAATATGCTAAACATTTTTTCCATTATAAGGGCAAGAAAAAGTAAAAGAAAACAGCTGTGTTAGCAGCATTCCTTGAGTAACCGTATTATTCAGCTGGATAACACATTTGAAGTCTCAACCAGCGTCCCAGCTAAAAGGCAGTGCTTAGGAATTAACCAGATGCTTTACATCACGACTTTCAAATTCTGCAGGTTTGTAACTTCTAGCTTCCACACATTTTCCTGTTAAAAACTATATGCCAGACCTTACAATTCTATACATTAAGAATGAAGGTGCACTTGCTTAATTAAAAAACCCTTGCCTCTCACTTCATTCTATATAGTTTCTTTTTGCAAGTGTGAATTTCAGAACTGTTAGGAACACTGATCATGGTACTGTGGGAAGGCCATCAGTGGGATTTGTGCCATTTACAAAGAGCAGCTGCAAAACAAAAGGGAGCTTGGGAAGAGAACATACTTGTTCTGCACGCAGTTGTTAGCAACACAGATGATTTGTAAGGGCAAAATCCTCTAGGACAAGAATGTTTTAACTGAATCACGTAGGAAATGGTACACCCTTCTAAAAAGATGTACAAAAGGCTGGAAGAAAACACATTACTCTGAGGCTCTAGTTTGATGCGCATCTAAGCTGCCTTTTCTGCTATGAAAAAGCCACCATTGTTCCACCCCGCTCTTCTCCATGCGCTGACGCACTGTGCTGTGTAAACCGAAACCTTTCCAAAGGGCTCCTTCCTCCCAGGAGCCACACCAGTTCCTTGACCTGCTGTGGCACACAGCCGCGCAGAACAGCGGACGCAATGTAAGTACCAACGGGAAAATAAAAATGTTGGAGGGCTACAAACTCAATAAAGCCCACGCTACTTGTGCGGGGGGGTGGGGGGGAAAGCTGAGCACAAACTACTACTGTATGACAATCCTCCATTAACCTGTAATCTAATCAGATTTCATATCTAATCTAAACTAATTTTGTGGGCATGGGGGTAGATGGGGAGGGAAACAACCTTGTGATGCAACAATCACCTAAACAAGGTATTACAAAAAGGCGTGTAACAGTGCTTTTCTGTTCTGCTGCTGAATCTGCTAATCAGTCAGTAGTTTAAACAGACTATTAGCTGTCAGCATTTTTACCCCGTTGAAAGAGTGGGGAAATTAGATTAAGCATTAAGACACTTAGTACAAGTACATGTTATCAAGCCAAATAGGTCAAGATGTGACTCAGCTTGAAAAAAAAAAAAAAAAAGCTAAGTAAAATACACACTTTCTGACATTAGTCATCTCCAGTCCTTGCTGAACAAAGGAATTTAAGACAGGCAGTCTTCTTCTGACTTACCCATAAACTATTTCTAGTCTAGGTTGGAAGGTACTGCCTCCTCTGCAGCCAATTAGTAAACAGTTTCTCAAAACTGTAACACTATACTCCTGGCAAAGAAAACTATTTAGCAAAGCTTTGGAAAAATTACAAACCAGCAGCTCTCTTTTCTTAATGCTTCACAATGGCAATCATTCTTGACTTTAACAATCATAGTATTTTTGTAGCGTATATTTTAAATGGAAGCAAAAATCAATGTTGAATGTTTATTAAACAGCTTTTTCCTCAGAGAGGAACAGGTTCTTCCATTTACTGAGAACAGTGCAATCCTGCTTAGCATTAAAACCCTACATTAAAATATGAAAAACTGAAAATATCATCATTAGAAATGATCATCCAGACCTATTTTGATTTCCTATATTAAAAAACCACTTTATAATTATACAATTCATATTCCGTCTTGCCTCACATCTTTCTTTCAGTGCAATGAAACTTGAATGATCACCTCTACAATTCATTTCATCTTCGTTTCTCAACATGTATATCCTATTTACCGCACCTCATTCAAATCCCTTTATATATATATATATGATTATTCCTACCTGGGATTTTCTTTGATGCTCGCTGTCGCTACATTTGAGCACTTCAAACATCAAACTTCACAACGATCTGTAATTAAGTTACTGCATTTTGCAAACAGCATACTGAAGCCTAGACACATGAGTACCGAAAACACATTCTAATTTTTAATATTCAAATATTGGTGTCCAAGTCCTGGCTTTTCAGGGACACTAGATTTTGCAGTTCATTTGTATGAAGTACAGCTGCCACCTAATTACAGTTGTGAGCGTTAGCATGATCACAAGCTCATTAGCTAAAGAAGTCGAAAAATAATGACCTTAAAAATAAGAACATATTGTTATTTGCAGAGTATTTTTGGACAGATTAAAAACTAGAAGTGGCTGGCAGTTAACTTCTGCTGTAATAACATGTGTGGGGTGGTGGTAGGTGCTGAACACTTACCAAATTCCTGGGCAAACTGGGAGCCAAAAAACCTACAAAGAAGTAACCAACAAAAGGGTGTTCTGAAGCAGACGGACAAACCGACCTCTGGAACAGTGTTCAGCTGTACAGAAGGGCGGGTCTCTCAGTTTCTTCCTGTGCTCACTGTCCACACACTTTGAAAACTCCACAAAAAAGGACAAGTCTAAGGAACAATGCATAGTGAAAGAAGCCCACCCAAAGCCGAACACTGGCCTGTGGTTATATCATCAAGGGGACAGGAAAAAAAAAAAAAAAAAAAAAGTACTATAATTACAAAGTAATTTTCAGTTTTGCAACATTATTACTGACTGAATTAAGATTAGTACAGTACCGCAAGTGTGTATTTCTGCTCCTTAATAGCGGCCTTTCATTCAATAGCCAACTCAAAGTTTTCTGATCTATATGCATACTTACTTTGAGGATTAAATAAATTAGTCAGCTGTTGCAATGAAAGCTGTTTAATGCCAGCTTTTTTTTTTGGGGGGAGGGGGTCAAAGAATATTAAATAAAATTCTTAATACACACACCAATTCATCAAGTCTAAGAGAAGATCCTACTACAAGGAAAACAATGTGCCAAATGCTTCAACAAGATCAAACATAAAACTATACAAGAAATTATTTATAAAAAAATACAGCTTATTACAGAGACTTCCTTCAAGCCAGTAATTCTAAGTGTGGTTTGCCAGTATCAGTAAGTCTAAAAAATGCAAACAACTATAAGTATGGAACACTCAAAGAAGATAAGATTCGTCATTATTACTAAGTCACACAGTTGGCAAAACAGCAGCTCAACAAGTAAAAGGCATCCAAGTGTATGAGTAAGCCTGGCTGTAACATAAAGGTAAGTCTTAGCAATCAAGAGAAAAATTTTCACTTGTGCCTCAAACACACAACTGTTAAATTCTAATCCTACACCCAAACACCCAGAAGTGTTACTAATATAAGTAAAATTGTGAAAGCATACTGGGTCGAATTTCTTCAGTGTTAGATCATCCTTCTTTATCTCACCGAGAAGTATGACATAAGAGACTTGATAAGTAAACTACAAAGGACTTTTGTTTCCGTATTCTTTGAGAGGTTTCTAGAAATACAAAATAAGTGGTGTCAACAAGCATCAAAAGATTATTTAAAGTTAAGAAAACTTCAAGATACGTTTGGTGGCAGAGGAAAGGGGGAGCACCATGAGAAAAGCTAGCGGAAACCTGGCTTGCAAGTTCATCAGCAAAAGAATTAACCATTCTTCCATATAACAAAAGCAAGAAGAGAGAAAAGGAACACACCTTTTGACTTTGTCATTTGCCAACAACACCAAGCTGTGTGGTGTGGTCAACACACTGGAGGGAAGGGAGGCCATCCAGAGGGACTTTGACAGGCTGGAGAGGTGGGCCTGTGTGAATCTCATAGAGTTCGACAAGGCCAAGTGCAAAGTCCTGCACCTGGGTCAGGGCCATCCCAAGCACAGATACAGGCTGGGTGATGAGTGGATCGAGAGCAGCCCTGGGGAGGAGGACTTGGGGGTGTTGGTGGGTGAAAAAACACATATGATCCAGCAACGTGCTGGGTCACTTTCTGCTCACGGCCCAGAAAGCCAATGGCATCCTGGGCTGCATCCAGAGCAGCGTGGCCAGCAGGTCCAGGGAGGGGATTCTCCTCCTCTGCTCCGCTCTGGTGAGACCCCACCTGCAGGGCTGTGTTCAGCTCTGGGGATCCCAGCACAAGACAGACATGGACCTGCTCAAGTAAGCACAGAGGAGGATCACAAAGAAGGCTGGAGCAGCTCCCCTGTGAGGACAGGCTGAGAGAGTTGGGGTTGTTCAGCCTGGAGAAGAGAAAGCTCCAGGGAGACCTTACAGCGGCCTTGCAGGGCTGAAAGGGGGCCTACGGGAAAGGTGGGGAGGGACTTGTGATCAGGGAGGGTATTGATGGGATGAGGGGTAACGTTTACAAACTGAAAGAGGGAAGATTTAGATTAGATATTAGGAAGAAATTCTTTATGGTGAGGGTGGTGAAGCACTTGGACAGGTTGTCCAGAGAAGCTGTGGCTGGCCCCCCCCCGGCGGGGGGGTTGGATGGGGCTCTGAGCAACCTGGTGTAGTGGAAGGTGTCCCTGCCCATGGCAGGGGGGTTGGAACTAAATGGTCTTTAAGTTCCCTTCCAACCCAAACCATTCTACGATTCTATGACTTTAGTAATCCCGCATAGCTATTACAGAGAGACCTCAACCCTTACCACTTCTTTAATTTTATGTCTTTATTTGCCAGTTATTTAAATGGCCTATCTGGCTTCCTGTGGGTAACAGTGGTTCAGGTCCCAGTTGCAGACACCAGCCCTCTTCCTCAATCTATTTATTTGCTCCAGGGCAGCAGCAGCAATGCCACAGCTCTGCATACCGTGCTGCAGAAAGGCAAAAGGAGGTGGGTCCAGCCAGGAGAGGGGGCAGACCAGGCAGGCTCATACCATCCACCTAACCCAGACATGTTCGCTTCCAGGTGAAAACTCCACACCAGCACACCTCTGTACATCTTATTTTTCTTGGTTGTTGAAAACCATATGCTCCTAAATCTACTGCCCTGTTTTGCTAATATAAGAGAAAACCTCTACCTTTGAACTTGTTCTAGGAGCAAGAATCAACTTGTGAAAATTCAGCTCAAGCAATACTTCACACAAAGCAAAGGCCAAAACAGCTAGAAGAATGCAGCTGCACTGACCTGACACGGATCACTGATATCAAAATTTTCTCATGTTAGACACCTCATTAGTTCTTTTTTCAGAATCAGTAAATAACTCTTATCAAATCCCATTAGTCACTGACAGGCCATTCAAGCATAACACGACACTACTAATAACATTCATCAGAATGCAACTTCCACTCTGCTCCTTTTATAGAACCACCAAGTTCTGCAAAGTATATTGCTTTCCATCACATCACACGTTGAAAATATATGAAAAACATAGCACAAATGCCACGCAAGGTCCTATCACCCTGCCCAGTGCTATGTAACTACACAAATTCCCTTTAGTTACCTGTATAACAAACCTCTAAGCTGCGTTAAAGACCTGTCTTAAAATTCTTTTTAAAGCTTTATTGTAAAAAATATAAATTATCAGAATGTTCTATTGGTTATTACCTTCAAAAGAGATGATGATGTCCCGGTTTTGGAGAGTTTTGTTACTGCCGACACAGAGGAGCCGTTTTCTGGTTTGACTTTTTCAGTTGTTTGAGTTTTATTTACTCCAGGCACTTTGGGCACTGAGCCAACACTCCTGCTTGCTTTCTTCATTCTGGGCTGTCTGTTTATGATGCATTTACAAACAAATCTACAAGCAGAAAGGAAGAAACTTTAAGTATAAAATAGAAATAAAAAGCAACGTCTTGTTTTATCATGCTCTACTTAAGACCAGAACTCCAGAACTGCAGTAAAGACCACAAATTAGAACCAAACAGAATGCATGAGACTGATGAATAGCTTTCGCTTTTTTTAAAAGGGAATTTTTACAAAGAACTAAGCACTTACCAATTGCAATATTTTTTTCAGTTCTCTTTCCACAAATGGCACTGAACTGAGGATATTTTATAAGTGACCCATGTTGCTGAGCTCACTCGTTAGCTAGCAAAAGAGAGGCTTATTAGGGCAGCAATGTTCTTTATTTCTGACTGTGGGAAGGAAAATACCGTGGGAGTATTCAGGCAACAGGCTGACTACCAACAACACTGGATCTGAGAAAAGATTACCACCAGTTTGGTAACTAAAGTACTGAGAGGGTAACAGCAGTTGCAGAGAAAAGTATTTTATAAAAATTAAAAGCAGCTGAAAAATTCAGATTCCTTGAAACCATTTATTATTAAAAATCACGTTAATAAACACATTTACAAAATTTAATTTTACATTTTACAAAATTTAATACTAATCATATGATTATGAGGATTATCTCTGAGAAGAAACCAGAAGTAACCCACTGCATTCCACGGTCTGCAGTCAGGACACTTCAGCATCTTTACCTTGTCTTCAGGTTTTCTCAAACAGCAGACAACTGTCAATACTGTCATTCCAACCATGAGCAAATAAATGAAACCACAGAAAACAAAGTTGACTTTACTCAAACTAGGAACAGCTGCAGCAGACCCGAACACTGCAGTTATAAGAACTGCTAATTCTGGAAGACATCCTAAGAAAGGGCAGACTAGCCAAGAGCCATAATTTGAAGTGTGGACTACCAGAAAGACTAGACACATCAGGATCTTCCCTCTTGCAAGAGTGAGATAGTTGGCAGCTGTTTTCTTCACCTCCCCTGAGTCAGAAGACATAGGATGGAAGATTATGAGGAGGAAACTTCCACTCCCCTTTCAGTCTTACTGATTCTGGGTGGAAGTAAATGATCAGGTTTATCTGAGTCAAATATCCTGCGGCTGATTAGAAACATGAAACACATCTAGTTGTTTCCATCTCTTAAGTGAAGCATTTCAAAGGCACAAAAAGCAGACTGATGATCGAGTGCACGAGATGTGCAACACAAAACCACAGTGACCAGGAACACTAATTCATTTTAGCTAACAAAATTAACACCATACACTTACACACACTCCTTTCTCCCCATCACCACCTCAGCTGAGCACAAGTATACTTCAAGTCTGACTGTGATAAAAGTCAGTAAAACTCCAGGAATTTTGCCTCCTCAGACCCCTAAGTGCTGTTAACAGAAGCAACAGGAAGTTCCATTTTAAGACACTGAAAATATTTGTTTATAGCTTCCAGATTCCCCTTAGCTCTGAAAGCTGGCATGAACAGACACAGAAAACTTTGTTTACTGTTGCAGTTTCATCATCAGAATGTCAAAAATGCACCAGTCCTGCCATACGGCTACTAGTAATCAGAACGCCTTCAGAGAAGATTAAATAACTGAGAGATAATTTGAAATGAGACACTCCTAAGAAAACCAAAACCTAAACCAGAAAAGCCCCGTGATGATAATACGTTTGCTATACACACATAATTTTAAGTGGTACAACTGCCTACTAGATTCCAGAAGCAGACGCTAATGTTTACACGTAGGACCAAGTTGCCACACTTACACTTCTTGCCTTTTCCATGTTTATGAGTTGAACACTTGTGCTTTTGATCTTAGTCAACTGAAAACTAGAACTAAGAAGACCAAAGAGGATAGAGCTGTTTAGTAAGACTGGCATCATTAAGGTTGAACGGTATTCTTGATGGTCTACAGACTACATAAAAAAAGTTGTCCATAGCATGCTTGAGAAACAATCAAACAAATTCCAGCGCACAGCTTGTGGGGAGGTGACTACTTTTAAAAAAATTACCTCAAAGAAAAAACTCTTGCAACAAACCCAGTAAATCAGAACCATGGCTTTTTGACAGCTCACAGAGCTAGTAAACCAGTGCATAACGAAGGTTAGGGCACTGGCAACAATCTGACTAGCATACATTTGGGCAGAGCTTGACAACCGTGCCTGGCAATCTAGATAAAGGGGTAGCTCCAGCTGGCCTGCAGCCATCCAGCAATGGCCATTTGCAATAGACATTTATCAAGTCTACAGAGCACATTCATCAAGTCTGACACACCTTGTAACGTGCCAGATACACACTGCACACATGATCTTTGCACGCACAGTAAAAGATCGGTACATTTGGGATCTGCTTATTACAGCTAGTAAATACAGTAACATAACCCACTGGATGTATAACCTCAAAAACAAATACAGGATAACAGTAGCTTTTACAGTACAAACCATTTATACTCCTACGAATATATCACAGAGGTCATCAGTGACAACAGACTGTGAAGTCAAATGTTCCTCATCCATAATGCATGTTTTAGAAGTGTTCCTGAAAACATGCAACAGCATTTGCTTCAAGAACAGCAACTGCACAGCAAAGCGATGTAAATAACTGAAACTAAACAAAGTAACTAAATATAATCCTCATGTTTCATCACAGTATTACTTTAAAATATCCACAAATTCAACATTGAAAACCACTATTTGTGATTTACTGAAACTCAAAGGTAGAACCACCTTTCCCGAAACTTCAAAGACACTTAGAGGACAGGGAGGATTAGGTACTGCTGTTCCTGTTTTTCTTCCAGAGAAACTAAGCTCTAGTAGTTACTTCCTTACAGAGAGAAGATTGTGTAATTATAGTTTAAAAACTGAGAAAAAGATACAAATTAGTCCAACTTAACTTAGACAAGACATTAACTAGCATTACAGGTTCTAAAAGCAGACGCTCACTCAGGCTCCTAAAGTGAATTTACGACCTCTGAGTGCCAATTTCTCCCCTCCTGCCTTCTCCAGGCAAGAGGAGGAGGATGATGGTGTTTCAGCACTGAAAACAGAAGACACCAATATCATTGAATTGTGAGTGGAATAAGCCCTACCTCACCCAGCTTCTCAAAAGGCAGGTATAGCAGATAAAGACTACCTTTATGCTCCTAAAGAACAGCACATTCCTTAGCAAGGCACAGTACTACGAATCAACAATAAATTTGTCTCTGCCTAACACTAAATTTTAAAATAAGAAATAAAATGCTCACAAGACAAATGAAGGTTTCTGAAGATTAACAAAGAACACTAATAATTCAAATGAGAGCTGAAATATGATTTCACTATTGTTTTAAAAACCAAACACTGCATATAAAACTGTAGCCTATATTTTGCCCTAGGGAGAATGAGGAACTACTGAAGACTTCCTTTCCCTTTACGCACACCACCTTCTACCTCAAAACAAAAAACAAAAAAAAAAAGAAAAAGGAAAAAAAAAAGAAGGAAAAAAGTGAAGTAGAAGCTTAACACTAAAAATTTGCAGTGGAATTAAGAGTTGTAGCTCCACAAAACAGTCAAGAGAGACTTTCAGAGGTTCCTCATATCACTCTACTAAACAAAATACTCATCTATCAGATGACACAAGTTGTTACTGGAAAACATTTGATTAATGCTAGCACTACAGCATCCATTATAAAACTAATCAGGATGGAAAAAAGCCAAAACGAGCCCAAAATATCAGATAGAAAGACTGCATTCCTAAACTAAAATGTAACTATTTGCTCTAACCTGTACCCTTTCCCAGACGTCTCTCTCTCCACAGCACACATAGTACAGGAAACAAAAGGGAATCTTGTTCAGGAGCGTGCTCTCCTTGCTCTGGTGGAGGCATGGGAAACCAGTCCTGCATTTTATACCAACTGCAAACACAACTCCATAAATAATAATTTAAAAGTGTTTTGCCCAATAGCATGGCTCTGCTCTTTACTGTAAACTGATATGATACATCCTCCCAGCCAACATGAAATGCTTTCAGGGTTACTCTTACGTGCTCTTTAGAAACCTGAAAACTGAAGGGCGTGTGTGTATGATTTCTTACTGTGATTATTTTCATCTCATCCATTATTTAATACGCTTATTTATGCTAATATTGCTGTCACAAAAGTAAGGCTCAATTACAAGAGCACAAAAAACAGTTTCCTGCGCCTGTGAGAGGGTTAAGCAGCAAAGAAGGTATTGGCCTTTTGCCTTCGGTTGAAAATACAAAGTTGTCAAGTAGTACCGAGCAGTTTTATAAATTAAAAAATTGTGAATTAAGAAAATTATAAGTAATCTTACAATTCTCTTTTAAGAGTTCCAGAAAAATAGGAACAACTGATCCCTCAAATACGAGGACACTGAACATTTTTGAAACATCAAATACCCAAAATACAGAGGAAAAATATAAACATTCACATCTAAGAGCAATAGAGTCAGTACACTTTCATTCTATTTATACAAGTTCTTTGGTTTTGACATATTTAGGCTGACAACTTTTGCTTAAATAATTAGGGAATGACATTTCTGAGTCACTTTGACAGTCCCACAAGGCAGAACTGTGACGACAAGATTATGAAATACAGCCTCTTCAGCCCCCTGTAAAACACAGATTCAGAACCTCCCCAAGCCTCTGCAGGGCGGTAAGCACAGCCACCAACAACTTAACGTCTGGGATGTGTGTGAAACACGCCACATACTAAGCGACGGCGTTCTCTACATTTATAACGTCCACAGCTCAAACTTTCAGCCCGCGAGCTGCACAAGCACTCTAAAACGATGGCTCTTGCCTAATAATTCTAAAACCATAACCCATTAACCACAGGATTCCAGAAGCCCGAGCAAGCAGTGCATTTGTGTTATTGCTTGGGATCAAGACATCAGTTCCAGTGACTTGAAAGTTTGCTGGTGCTAGAGGGTTAAGACACCAAGGATAACAGGAAACTACACGGAATCACAGAAGACCCTTATGAGACTAACTGGACAATAAAAACAGCA